GAATACTTAAAGCTATTTGGACTGTTGTCGCAGTTTTAGATATTTTGAAAATTATTTAGAAAATCAATCATAAAATTAATTCATACTCATTTGCATTATTGCCTTTTGTAATTGAAACATGACGCATATTTGATGTCCTTTATGGAATTTAGAAATTCACTCACAAAATTATTCATTTTGATGATTTGTTGGACATTTTAAGTGAAAATCAAAATAAATAGGTTTTTATGCAGTATTGGATTCCATTTGTAAATGAGATATTTTTAGGGAAGAAGAATAGTCTGCCGAGAGGTGATAAAATTGAATATTAAATATTTTAATTATTTTCTAATAAACAAAATTATTTTTTACAATTTTTTTTTTGCAACTTTGTTTTAAAATCCATAAATTATTAATCAAGAGAATTGTTGGACTACCACAGCTTTTACAGACACTGCCAAATATCAATGATTAAAAGAGTATTGGCTTTGCTGTCCATATATAAGTTTTTATATTTGAAACCATTATTTAAACAGCTCCATCCCGTAAAATTGAAACTAGAACGCCGAAGAAAAAAATTCTGTTTACTTTTACTACTAAACAAAAATACAAACACAGGAGTCGAAGTCTACTGCGTGGAATTAGGAATATGAAAGTCCTATTATCTTAGCAAATTTATCTTAATATTTTAAGTCAAAATATTCGCCATTCTATTTTCTCATTGAGAATACGGAAATCTATATTCTCAAACAGTCAAGCTATCAAAGTTATTTCACTGATTCACAGGACTCTCGGTCGAGATAATACACGAATGTTGACAAATTATTAACTTATCTGACAGTAATTTCAAAGTTACTCTAGGTTAGGTTTGTAATCATGCAAATATAACAAGAATCAGCTACCGAGACTTAGTGTTTACTCGATAGAATCTCCTGTATCAATTCCTGCCCTTGCCAGCCAGAGACTAAGATTGAAATGTTATCACTTTTTGCAAACAACAAGAAAAGAGAAATTAATCTGAAATTATTTCAGCCATCAGGTCGACCGGACATGGGTTTTGTGTTGAAAACCATAGGCGATTGATCACATGAAGATGTCTTTGACATCTATCAAAGTCAACAGTTGTTGGTTTATAAAAAAACAGAAAGTTATTCCCAAAAGGCTGTAGTTTAGACGCTAAAGAATGAAGAGAAGAAAAAGCAAGAATTGCAGTTATCTAATAATTTAATATTGTAATAAAATAACATTTAACAACAACTACTTCACAGCTTCATTATCCATATTTAGGACAAAATAACAGTATTTAAAAAAATACTAAAAATATGGACTATAAAACGACAATTCCAGACTGAAGATTATGGGTGCCCCATTCTCTTAGTTACTCTAGAACATATCCAACATTGATTTTAAAAAAATATGTGCATCAATGCTTCTGACTGACTTGGTGCTTTCTAGCTAATTAAGATTTTTTCGGCCTTCTTCTGCTTCACCCAATTAAATGTTCATCAAACTAGCGAAAATCAATGAGAATTGAACATTTATTCGCAAAACAAAAACAAAACCAATTTAATATTCCAGTATTATCATTGTTATATTCTCTTGTAAAATGTTCAACGTTATAAATTTTAATAATTTTCATGTTAATCAATTCACAGACAGTGAAAAATCAGTTAATAAATTTTTAATTTATTGCCGGGACGAAATGCTTATCAAATTGAAATTCAAATTAATACCATTTACAATAACAGCTCCCGCAGCAGCAGACGAGGTCCTTCTCAAAATGTGGAGTACGACAAATGTCGTTGTTTGCGGCTTCAATCAAAATCATGCAACCTCAAAATTCATTTGACAGAAGACAAAAGCAAACTCAATTCCACGAATGAAGAAAAACTGAAACCGAGTCGCTTTAATTCAACGCAATGTGCTGCGATTGCATACGATGAGATATAAAAGGACCCATCAAGGAGGTTTACTAGGAATATCAACTGAATATGCCACAAAATTCTAAAAACAAAAAATAAAACAAAAATTATTGTAAAAGGATTAAAAGCCGCACAGAAAAGCGTTATTGTCTCTAAATTGATTCAACTGCGAACGGACCCAGCCGCAAGAACATAAGAACAGGATTAAGTTGTGGTGCCATTAAACGAATGAAACAGTAAATAAAAGTATGGGAAGAGGGGGAAAAAGTGTGCTAAATTATAAAATTCTCAAGTATTGACAAACTGAACTTAAATAAGTGTTAAGACCATCCTTGTAAGTTCAAGCATTCTACATGCGTGTAGGGTCCTTAGAGTTTTAGTAAAATAAGAGGTTTGCGGAGTTAAATACACTTTGGTTTTGTACGTTTTTGACTGTTCGTTTTAAAGTTCTTTGAGTTGCTGATGTATTCGTTATATTTGCTTAAGGTGTGAATATTTGCAAAGTTTCTAGTAAATACTGAAACAATCGAAAAACAGTGACGTTTTCATCATCAAAAACTGGAAACTAACGAAAATTTAGGTATCCTATTCAGGATACCTAATAGATAAATAGATAATAATAGATAAACAAATTGTTATTATGTTATGAGAAGCCAATTTTTTGTATTTCTATATAACACATATATACATATATATGGGATTTTCTATTTTTGTTTGTTGATTATGCACTTGCAAATTAAGGCAGAAATGTTGATGAATTTTTTATTGTCGGAAGAAATATGAATGATTGTTGTGGCAAAAGAGTTTATCAATTGAAATCCATATTAGAAAAGCACTGATAAGGAATTTAAGGGTAAATATAATAGAAATTTGATTTAATGAAACACCTTAATAAACATATAGAAAATAAAAAAATTCGTTTAACCGTAAATAACTAACGAAACGCGTCAGAACTGAAACTGAAACACCAAAATAACGTTCGCAAAAACACACAGGACAGTTTTAAATAAGAGTAGAGTAATATATTCATGTCGCGAATGTATGAAGATGCTTCAGCCTTGTCTCCAGTAAAGTGATTAAGCTGAGGGAGCAATAACCGATCTTAATGTACGATGCGCGTACGCAACAGAAGCGCATGAGAGACATGCTGTGTTAAGCCAAAATCCGATAACGGGCTGTTATGGCCAAATAAGTAAGTAAGTAAAAGTAATATATTATATGATATATGGAGATATTAAAAGCACCTAATGTTAACATTTTGGGGTAATATATACATAAGTGACAGAAGAATGCAAACAATTGTTCATGTACACAATCAGTGGTACTTTGGCGTGTCAATAAAGAGACAGAAATATTAGAGACAGTAAAACGACGAAAGTTGGGGTTTTTTGGTCATATTCTGAGGCATCCGGAAAATTACGAACTACTCAAATTAATCATTAATCATCATCAATTAATCACTGATTAATTAATCAGTGCACGGACTAATTAAAATTATTTAGAAGAATTGAAGGCAGAAGTGGCCCTGGGAGACGAAAGTTATAATGGCTGAAGAATTTACGTGAATATCTATGTAGTAAACCCAAAAAAAAAAGATTGATAACGTTTCAGTTTTTTTTTTTATTAAAATACATCAATTTATAATTTTCGAAACGTCACTGACTCATTTTAACAGAACGAACTGTTGTTATTTTTCGCAAAACATATCACAACTACTGCAGAGCCCATTTACTAAAAACATAAAACAGCTTTGCAAGCAAAATATTAAGATATTCAATGGAACTTTAAAATTCTATGCAAATACTTGAAAATAAATTTGCAAAAGTTTTCAAAATTCAAACAAAAAAATCGTTTAAAAAAGGGATAGAGAGAAAGTACTACTGCCTCACAGACCTTGAGTTTAGCTTACATTCAGAGTCACGCATGAAAGGATTGTTAGCAATAGTGCAGTACAATAGTTTTCTAAGAGACAAAAGAAAACCAAATATTGTGGTTGCAAAAGAAAGTCGAAACTTGGCTTGGCTTAAAAGGATTGCAATTCAAATTAAGCTAAAAACAAACGATGACTAAAGCACGCCTTCCTCATCCACATCCACAAACACCGACACTTACCCATTGCAGACTTCGTGTTTTTATTTCAGGGGAAGTTTACAGCACGAGTTTTCATGTTTGTCGGTTAGTTCAATAGCGCTTACTCGATATCCAGCATCCAGAATACCAAGTTCAGTTTGAATAGAGCACCACTTCTGTTATCAAAAACCACAACTACTACTGCAATAACAATAAACACAGTTGTAAGTGTGTGAGGGCAGAAAGAACAAAAAGTTGCGGTTGCTAAAATATTTTAAATTAATCTCGAGTGCGAACGATAATAATTAAACAATATTAGTAAACAAGAAAATAAAAAATAAAACTTGAAAATGAACACATTTGTATATAAGCAAATGCAAATACAAAATATATTGTTGAAAAAAAAAACACATCGTTTTGCAGAAATATACTTATTTAACTATATTTTAAGAATATTAAACAATTTAGTAGTATTTTTAGTATTTATAGTTAATGCTATGAACTTTACGGCAGTAATGAATTACTATGGAACCAAATAATCTCTCTATGTATCTATTTATCTAATTCTATTTATCTATCTAATTCTATCTATCTATCTAATTCTATCTATCTATCTAATTCTATCTATCTAATTCTATCTATCTAAATCCATCTATCTATCTAATTCTATCTATCTATCTAGTTCTATCTATCTTTCTAATTCTATCTATCTATCTAATTCTATTTATCTATCTAATTCTATCTATCTATCTAATTTTATCTATCTAATTCTATCTATCTATCTTATTCTATCTATCTATCTTATTTTATCTATCTATCTATTTTATCTATCTATCTAAATCTATCTACCATTCAGACAGATATTCAAACTATACCTATTCAGACAGATATTCAAACTATAGCCATTCAAACTATATTTCATAGTTTAGTGATCTAACAATCTTGTAATCCAAAAAGTCTTACTTATGTTAATTTGCTTTTAATTCATATTAATTAATTTATAGAGCTTAAAATAAGAATTTGTAAGAATTATGAAAAAACTAAGATAAACTTACTGCCATCGCTATGCGCTACACCTTCCCGTAGCAGAAAATATCTTAGACCCTCCATTGTGTAGATTCTTGCCACTTCTTCGGGGTCAACTACATTATGTTTGCTTTTTGACATTTTTTGACCATCGACAGTCCAATGAGAATGCACAAACAGTTGTTGAGGAGGTTCAAAGCCTACAAAAAAACAAAAATTCCATATGAAAAAATCAAAACTCAACAATTTTGCATCGCAGAACATTGTAACTTACATATAATACCCTTCTTAATAAATATATTGATTAAACAATGATATTGATTTAGTACGTTTGAAGCAGTTAATAATAGATTCATATAGACAAGAGTATTTTACAAAAACAAGGGTACCGTTATTATGCACTATATCAGATGACTTCACAAAATTGAATTTGCTTAAGACTTTGAAGAATGTTAATTAGTTTTATTGATTTGAATGTAAACAAAACTAAACAAAACTTCGTTTTCGGTTTTCTGACTGCCAAAAGCACTTATTCATTCCTACTTAAATTTGTTATAAAATTCGAAAAATATATTTTGTTTATATTTACCTGCAGCAATTAAAAATGCAGGCCAATAAACGCCATGAAATTTTAAAATATCCTTTCCAATCACATGCACTTTTGCTGGCCAATGATTACGATACTGTAGACATAAGATTATTTACAGAATATTACAGATGGTAACAGAATCTGTACTGCACCTTAGCATCAGGAAAGCCGGTGGAAGTTAAATAGTTAATCAATGCATCTAGCCACACATAAACAGTTTGCGTTTCGTCACTAGGCACGGATATAGCCCAATGCACACGATTGGACGGACGTGATATTGAAACATCTGGCAGTGGTTCATTCAAAATATTTAATAAAATTTTCTCAAATTTTTTCGGACGCACTCGACCACCTTGTTTTACCCAATATACTACATCAGATTGTAGTGCTGATAAACGAAACATGTAATTTGTTTCATCTGACCACTCCACAGGGTGACCGGATTCTAAAGAGTAGCGAATACCAGTTGATTCATCCAAACGCAGCTGTGAGTCAGTTAGGAAAGTTTCATCAGACACACAATACCAACCGCTGTATTTTGCTGAATATATATGACCATTAGTATGTAAGCAACGCTAGGAGTGTGTATTTCGATTAAAAACAGGAAATAACAACAGTCTGCAACTTACCCAAAATTGTGCTACTGCTGCTTTATGTCTGTCTTCTGTGGTGCGTATGAAATCATTGTGTGCTATGTGCGCCTGTTGGAATATATTCTTGTATTTTGCTGATATATCATTGCAGTATTGTTCCACAGGTATTTTATGTGCGGAAGCAGCTTGCTGTACTTTGGTGCCATGTTCATCAGTACCAGTGCAGAGGCGTACACATGTATTGTTCGGTCGCAATAAATTTTGGTAACGACATATAGCATCAGCAATAACAGCAGAATACAAATGTCCGATATGTGGCGCTAACGTTTAGAGAATAAAGAGAACTCCTGATCATGCAACTCCTGATGAAATAAAAAACTTACCGGCATTCACATAGAAAATAGGTGTTGTTACATAAAAGGAGCCATTTGATTTTGTACAGTACCGCTGCAAACATTTTACTGTGTTTTTTAACATTCTTTCAAATGCAGATTATTAAAACACACTTCTTCAAAGTGTTAACTAAAGAATATCACAAATATTTCTTTGGAGTTCCAATTCCGCTAACGTTACCGAAATGTCAAAACACAGCTGAGATTTATTTACATGCGTTTTCAGTGACATCTAACGGCAATGTTTTTCAGTGTTGTAAAATGTTGTCTTTTAGAAAAATTTGTGTAGAACAAAAATTATTTATTATACATAAATTACGCTTATTATAACAAGTACGCCCAAATAATTTAATTTTTATAAAAGCACTACGGTTTTAAACTTATTTTACGTTAGAAAACACCTCAATTCATTTAAGAGGTGTATTTAAGAACTCATGATCAACTTTGCACATTTTATTAGTCATGATGGATATTTTTTATATATATATGTATATATATATATATATATATATAATTCATTCAGAATTGTGTCTACTATTGATTGATGGTTCTCACATATATTTTCCAAATTCAAAATTCCATATCTACAAAAATTAAACTATATTGATATTGATATATAACGCAGTGAAGTAAGTTGTTTTCTTCTTCCAAATGAAATCCATTGTCAAATGGGTGTGCTCAAGAAATCGAAATTGTACCCCAATATAACATTACTTACGATAAATCGAGTGGTTTCGAATTAAAATTTAAAATGAAATTGATTTTAATGTTTAATATTGTTTCAATAAAAAAAATGCGTTTTTAAATAATTCATTTCCATATAATAGTTTGTAAAATTTTATCATTTGCTGTTTATTGTTAATAATTAAAATATACAATATTATTTTGTTGGTCTTATATTTTCTCAAAAATATAAACTGATTTGAAATAAAAAAACTAATGTGTATATTTGCATATATAACTTTAAGTATTATAAAGCGCTTAATTTCAATTTAAAAGAATTTTTAGTTTCATAATTAAAAAGAATTTTATATATTAAATATATAATAATATATTTCTATTTTTTAATAACGAGTCGCTCGGGAGAGAGGAGAATGCTGCAAAATTTTAACAAATATTTCTGTTACAATAAATAGTTTGCTTACAATCTCAGGAATATCAAAATAACTTTTCTATACATTCTATTACTTAATTATTGTTTTAATTGCATTCTAATAATTTAAAAACTTTAACTTCAATCAAAATTTATTTAATACATTTTTTTTGTAACTCTTAAATATTACACATTTTAATTTGTTTTTATATATTTTTATTGAATAGGGTTTACTGTACATTTACTATCAGACAATATTATTTAAGTTTAATTGAAATATATTTATATATCTATTTTATATTATTTTAGTTATCTAATTTTCTCCGCATTTGTCTTTGGTTTATATTTACAAAATTAACTGAAATACAATTTGTTATTTTCCACATCAAATATATAGGCCTTAACTGACTGTAATAATTAAAAAATAATTAATTGCCAATTTTATATTTAAATAAATTAACAATTAAATCAATTGACCCAAGCTAAATAAAGTTTTTAAACAAAGTAATTTTGCATTTTGAGATACAATTCAGATTTTCTTAACGTATAACTAAACTTAAATTAAACACATGTTTTTTTTACGATAAATATTTGGAGTGGCCAGTAACATGTCATAGGAAACTGCGTCGTTGATCACTGCTGGTTTGAGCTTAGGCACTCCAAAATGTTGCAAAATTATTCGTTCGACGCCAATACAAAAGGAATGAATATCACTTTCGGTTTATTATATATATAAAGTTTTTGTCGTTTTTGTCGTTTTTGTTTGGTTCAAAATTACAAATAAAATTCAAAATCGCTTAAGTTAAAATTAAAGAATTAAATAAAATTACACATTTACAACCTAACAACTAAAGTTTTCGTGAAATCAGTGCATAATAAATTAAAAATAATACTTAAACAATTAAAAACTTAAGACTATTTTCGCGCAGTGGCTGTCCCACTACCGCCTCCTTTTTCGAACCGTTGTGTAAGTGACGCAATATTCCCCGACTTAACTGTTGGTCCTGTTCGAGGTGTAGTTGCCGATAGTTTATTCCCAGCTGTGTTCGTAGAATTACTGCTTCCAGCTGCTGGTGTTTTCTTTTGATTTGTGAACGACGGTTTCGCTGAAAGAAGTTTGGGTTTTTGTATGGTAGCGGATGGCTGTGGTGTCGTACCGCTGGCACCACTGCCAGGCAGTGTTTTTTGTGTATTTGTGTTAGGTACAGTAGTGCTTCTTCCAAAGGATTTGTTTCTGCTTACCGCTGTGGATGGAACGCGATGAGGATTGTTAACCGGTATGTGATTTGAAGAGGCTGTTGAAATTGAAGAGGCTGCAGGTGGTTTAAAACTGGAGAATGCTGTTGTTGGAGAAAGATCTGAGCGTGTTGGTGCCACGCGAGCTACTGGTGTATTTATTGGTGCAGGACGTAAATATGTGGACATATTCTGTGTTGCATTTGTTTTTGTGGCTTCTATAGCTTCACTCTTATTACCAGTAGTGCTATTTTGTGAAATGTTCGTATAACCAGATTTTCTGTTTTCTGCTCTACAGTGTTCCTGCTCATCTTTTATTTCATTTTTAGGTTTAAGCGTTGATGCTGAATAAATAGAATCACCACCATTGCGTTTTTCGATTTCGTTGACTATTTCACCCAATAGTCCCATATCACTTGTAGCACTGCTTACACTTACCAAATCACTGCGCTTTAATGTTTGAGCTGCAGGTGGTATCTCATCGATAACAGAATATATATTGTCTGTAGAGTTGCGTGAATTTCCGGTTTCGCTAACACTACTTAGAGGTAATTCGACAAATTCACAATCGTCATATGTATTTTCAGTTTTTAACTTGTTAACACCTAATGGGATTTGATAACCTGATGAAGTTGTTGACAGTGTTTTTTTAAGTGGTGGCGGCCTCGGAGGCGGACTTTTTGGACGTGCTGTTGCAGCTGAAACCACACTCTTAGGGCGCGCTGTACCTGGTGGATGACGCATGGAACCAAATGTTTGAACATTTGTCTTCTTTGTTGGAGAACGCATAGATTGAGTCCGCTTGACAAGATTTTTTGTTTCTTCTTCTTTTGGTGTGGTCTCCGAATCAGAATTTGATGACTCTCCATGCGGAGCTACTGGTATTGGTGCTGAAATTTCTAAATTACGTAACTTTTCACGATCTATGTAAGTTTTTTCTTTTAATGGTTGCTTTTCCTCTTTTTTAAGAAATGAAGCTATGCGACGTATCGTGCCATCACGTTTTATGTTTAATTTAGGATCTGCATGTAAAGGAACAGGTGGCGGCGGTGCAGTTTTCAATGTGTTTGTAGTAGGCGGCGTAGGTGCTGTTCTAATTGGCGATATTTCTCCATTTTGCATCGATTTAATTGGTAATCCTAGCGTTGTTGTTTCCAAAACGGGCATTGAAATGATTGGACGAGCATTTGAACCGGGATTTGGTGGTGGTAGAGCGGGTGCACTTGGAGCATTTGGCGGTGGTGGTGCTTTACGACCTAAAGTACCATTCAGTTTATGTGTATCGTGCGTTTTTACGACAGGTGGTGGAGGTGCTGCACGCTGTGGTACCCCAGTCGAGTTATCTTGTATTGTAGGCTGTACATAAGCTACATTTGATCCATTCAAATTATTCACGGGTGTTGATGTATCATTAAGTGGTCGTAATGTGAAGCCTTTAAACTTGCCGAACATTCCATTGTTCAAAGTTATATCATTGGAATCACTAGGCGATTTAAGTAAAGCCGAGTTCATATCGTCTGTACTGCTAGGTGTTGATTTTGGCAAGCCAGTGTTGCTCTGCGGCGGAGAACCACTAGTGTGCTGATTACGCTGAGGTGGTTGTTTGTTGCTACTAGCACTTTTAAGACTATAAAGAAAATATAATTAGCAAATATAAACATAATTATAAACGCGGTATTTGATTTTGTCATAATCTTTGTTTTGTTAAAAATAGTGAATAGTTTTTAAGAATTGTATATTAAAATATTATTTTAAATGAAATTAACTATTAACATACCAATAATGAACACAAACTCCACAATCAAAAAATAAGACACCAAATCACACCATGGGTTTCTAAAAATTAACATGCATTGCTACGAAGTATTCGTTAAAGCCTTAAACTTAAGAAACAATAAACCAAAACCGATAGCGTAACACAATCTTAATTCTAGTTTATTACAGTTTTAAAGAACTTATGTACTTAAGATTACATTAAAAAAAAATTAAAATTTTCCGTTATAAATTCATGCAAAAAATATTCATTTCTAACTTAAAGACAGAATATTATGTTATAATATACAAGTTACAATTAATCTTAGAGCTAAAAACTAAATATAATTGCTATACATTCATTTTAAAATTTGGTAAAGTGAAAGTAATTAAATTTAATTTAAATGAAGAAACAAAAATCAAATTTGAATTTGAAAAATAAAAATGAACTCTAAATTTCAATCTAAGCATAACAACAGAAACAACTAAAACAACATTTTTGGACGCATCTCTAGGACTACTAAGTGTCCTATGGGAACTACATATCGATTTTTGCAAAGCAACACTTCTTCAGGCATTTCAAATAAATTATGAATGAAAAAATTTAAATAAAAAGTGATTTGAATGTTTATTATTGTTGATGTTGCTGCTTTCTATCTAGCAGATAGACACACCTATTCTCCTGACTTAGTACGAAGTCAGTGCCTTCAGTGAGTGCATGAGGATTCGTTGTGGAACGCAAGCGTACGTCGGTGATTTCTAGCTTACGCTTAAGTGTGTTATTGTTGCTAGAATTTTTGTTTTTGTTGTGAGTCTTATGTTTACTAGTATTTGTGGATGTAGGTAATGTGGAAAGTGTGGATGATAGTTTATTTTCTTGTTTCTTGATAGTTTCATTGTTGGAATAAATTGGTTTGTTTAGTACATTTGATGCTGTTTTTGTATTTAAATTAATTTCAAAATTACTTTTACTTTTAGACAAACACATATTATTATGAATTCTAGCTACATTGCTCAGTGACGACATAGATAAATTAGTGGAACGTGCGTTTTGTAAAGTATTAGCAGTTATTGCATTAATATTAGTGGCAGTGTTCTGAGTACACTTAAGAGC